TAAACCCTAAACCCTAAACCTCTCTTACCTATATATATTTAAACCCTATAGTCAGCAAATTGCCCGGCCCTGTTGGTCACTGGCCCTGGGCTAACCCTTCCAGATTGACCGGCCCTGTTGGGCACTCAAGGGTCTGGCCTTGTCCTGTCCCGCGCGCGGGCGGCCTTGGCCTTGGTTTTGGCCCTTCCAGATTGACCGGCCCTGTTGGGCACTCAAGGGTCTGGCCTTGTCCTGGCCGCGCACGGGCGGCCTTGGCCTTGGTTTTGGCCCTTCCAGATTGACCGGCCCTGTTGGGCACTCAAGGGTCTGGCCTTGTCCTGGCCCGCGCGCGGGCGGCCTTGGCCTTGGTTTTGGCCCTTCCAGATTGACCGGCCCTGTTGGGCACTCAAGGGTCTGGCCTTGTCCTGGCCCGCGCGCGGCCTTGGCTCAAACTCCGACCCGCCCTTGAGAGGGAAAGTTTGCCTCCAAAAACACCCCAAATGAGGGGGACCCCAGGATCGGCCCCGGTCCCAGTTAAAAATGCGATTTTTTAGTACTGAATTCGACGGTTCTGGGTGGCCTCTCGTTTTCTGGATTTTTGACCAAAACCGAGCCTTCATTGGTTTCAGGATTTCAAGTCCCGCCCCTCTGTGGGGGCCGATGAAATGGTTCGTGGGTAGGATGGTCCATGACAGAGTGAGGTTGGAGGACAGGGCTTGCTGATGAGAAATGTAAACTTTTTATTTTCTTAATGTTTTGGGATTCTCTGGGTGGGTGGGTTGTTTTCTGTTGCCTACACACACTGCTGGCCTAGTAAATGCTCGAACTTGAGATGCTAAACCCTAAACCCTAAACCCTAAACCCTAAACCCTGAACCCTGAACCCTAAACCCTCAACCCTGCCCCCCCCCCCCCCCCCCCCCCGCGCCCCCAAGTCGATGGAAGGACTAAAAGGCTCAAGCATGCGGAGTGCTCCGGGCATTTTTTCCATGTTTGAGCAAGAATGAACCGAGAAAGCTTGCTTTCTTATAGCAGATTTCAGGAACATGCATGAAAGTAACAACGTCTGTACATATATATATATATATAAATACATGTACAGATCATATGTGTGTATGTTTTTTGATATAGCACACGCAGCCTATGATGATCGAATGCAATCTGTCAGGCGAGAGAACCTCCCCTAAACCCTAAACCCTAAACCCTAAACCCTAAACCCTAAATCTAATCCGACAACACCAGCTCTGGGCCGGGGCGCTTGCAAACAGGAATGCAGCTGGTACCGGCTGCGACGGTCTTGCCACGGATGCCGCGGCATCCGTGGCCGTCCTTGTTCGCCTCAGGGGTTTAGGGTTTAGGGGCTGGTTTAGGCTTTAGGGTATAGGAGTTTGGGGGTTTAGGGGTTTAGGAACTAGGAGTTTAGGGTTTAGGAATTAGGAGTTTAGGGTTTAGGAGGTTAGGAGTTTAGGAGTTTAGGGTGTAGGATTTGGGGTTTACGTAGGGTTTAGGAGTTTAGGGTTCAGGAGGTTAGGGGTTAGGGTTTAGGAGTTTAGGGTTTAGGGTTTAGGGTTGTTTCATGATCTTTGGGGGGCCCTGGGAGGTCCCTAGAAGCCTACAGGGAATGTGGCCTCAGGGCTTTGCTTCGTCTCATTGAAGCCGTCACATCCTAGGCCTACGCGAGGCTCTTGCAGGGCAAGGGGATGAAGCTGCTTGTGGCACAGGGTCCCTTAGTATGGGCCCATATAGCTACTACCCATAGATGGTGTAGGGTTTAGGGCTGTAGGGCTTCAGGCTTCAGGGTTTAAGGTTCTGCTCATTTCGCCTGCTTGGCGCAGTTGTGAACGTGCTCATCAATGAGGAGGCGCGGTTTCAGTCAAAAAGCGTGCGCCCTAAACCCTCAACTCATTCCAAAGGTACCCCCGGACCCGATACCTAAGCCCAAAAGCCCCTAAGCCCTAAACCAGAAACCCTTAACCCCTCAACTCATTCCAAACCCGACACCCAAGCCCTAAAGCCCGACGCTCCAAGCCCTCAAGCATAAACTATACTCCCCTTGGAGCCTTAATAAAAATGGTATTCTTGGTATCCTTACGGGTTTTATATAAACAAATGAGAAATAGTTCCTAAGGGGGATACCCTAAGGCTCCAAATAGCCCAAAGTAGGTATTATTTACAGACTTTAGACCCCATTGTAGGTGGTATTTGTATACTTGGAGCCCTAGGGATATAGTAAACCCTAAACTCTAAAACTCTAAAGACTCAACTTGACTCAACCTTCAGCTCTGCGATCTGCGCAGCGCAAAACTGACGCCTTTCACATTCCCTTATGGTCCCTATATTATTGCACGATAACTCGATTACTAACACCCTATTCTAATCATTTAGGCCCCTATGGTAAACCCGAAAGCCCACAGTTTAGGGATTTGGGGTTGGGGTTTAAAGAAACTAAGGGACCAGATTCAGGGGTCATGTAGCCTCCCTTAACCTAAACCCTAAACACGAGCTAACTGACAAAGGCTGGGCGCGACATTCGGGATCACGCAGGGTTCCGGGTTGCATGTGAAGCTTGCAGGCGCCAGCTTACCTCGGGCGACGCGAGCTTGTGTTATTGGGTTGAGGGTTTAGGATTTAGGGTTTAGGATTTAGGGTTTAGGATTTAGGGCTTCGGGTTCTGGAGGGGAATTAAGGTTTACTTGAAGGTGCATGGGGCAGTTAGAACTGGGGATATAAGTAGGGTAACTTGGGACTTAATTGGTTTCAGCCCTTTTTGAGGCCTATGACCCTACTTATAACTACACAGGAACCTTCAATGTAGGACGGATTACGGTTCGGGGCTAGTTTTGCTTGGGATGTAATGCTCCAGGATGATCTATAGGTGAAAGAGCAGAAAGTTTCCGGTCTCACTGACATCCGCCTGTGCTCCTGGAGCTCGACTCCATCGAATGAGGCAGCAGTCCCTAAACCTCAAGTCATAAAACCCCTGGGTTTAGGGTTTAGGGTTTAGGGTTTAGGGTTTAGGGTTTAGGGACCCCAAATCCTAAGAACCCTAAGCCTGTGCTGCAACGGTCAGTCACAAAGAACATATCACGTTTGAACCCGTGCAGTTTCCTTCCAGGAAAAGGGTTTTAGGGTTTTGAGGGTTTGGGGTTCAGGGTTTGGGGTCGTTTACAGCTCCAATGGGGTCGTTTACAGCTCCTATATGCCTTCCAAAGAATAACTAATTCGGATCACAATACATCAATCCCCCCCCCCGCCCTCCCCTCGGAAGAGTCGCTAGGTTGGCCGTCCAAACCCTCTGAAAAATATTCAGAAATATGACCCTCTCAACCGCAATAAAAGGGAACGTGAACAAATCTCTCAAGGGCCTACCTATAGATAAACAAGCAACAATGAGCCACAGTTTTAACAACTTCGTCTTCGGAAAGTTTGAGCATCCCTGAACCCTGAACCCTAAACAAAAAGGGAATAAGGGCCTACTCTGGGTCCTAGCCCTAAACCCTAAACCCTAAACCCTAAACCCTAAACCCTAAACCCTAAACCCTAAACCCTAAACCCTAAACCCTTGCAAACCAGAGCCACCCATGCTGCAGGCCAGTGAAGCAACTGAAGGCTCATAGCCATCGGCGCACTGGGTGGTACCTCCCAGAGTCGGTGCACCCGTGCTAGGGTTTAGGGTTTAGGGTTTAGGGTTTAGGGTTTAGGGTTTAGGGTTTAGGGTTTAGGGTTTAGGATTTAGGGTTTAGGGTTTAGGGTTTAGGGTTTAGGGTTTAGGGTTTAGGGCGGTTTAGGGTTTAGGGCCGTTTAGGGTTTAGGGTTTAGGGGGTAGGGTTATTAGGGTTCATCACACCAAAGATGCAATGGTGCACAAAAGTGCTCAAGAATGAAACATGGCGGCGCCCAGCTGTGACCGTTATGGCACCGCAATCCGCATCCCACGACACCCTAAACCCTAAACCCTAAACCCTAAACCCTAAACCCTGAACCCTGAACCCTAAACCCTAAACCCTAAACCCTAAACCCTAAACCCTAAACCCTAAACCCTAAACCCTAAACCCTAAACCCTAAACCCTAGCACGGGTGCACCGACTCAACACTTCTACACCAGCACCTGCCTGGACCCGTAGTCGTCGTTTTGCTTATCTTGGTAGCCCAGTAACCATATGAAGTCGGGTATATATTTCTTGTACCCCCAAAAGGACACCAGGTATATACACTCACAAATATTAACAAGGAACCTTATATACACTCACCAAAAACAGAAATATAAACCCTGCTTCATATCATAGTAAGGCACCCAGTAACCACATCGTAATAAGGCACCCTCTTTTGGGGTTGGTTACTGTGTAAGGGAACCTTGGCCCAAAACAAGGGAAAAGAGTACCTCTGGGTTAACAAGTTTTGTTCGTAGTACTTTTGGCGTTCGGCTCCTACACTCCCGCAAGAACCTTGCCAAACTAATTCGATCGTCCTTTAGTTCATAGGGAGAAGCATAAGACCAAAACCCTAAACCCTAAACCCTAAACCCTAAACCCTAAACCCTAAACCCTAAACCCTAAACTGCCCTAAACCCTCAGGAGACGATTGGTTCAAGCCGAGGGGCAGAGGTTTCCAGCACCAACCGTCTTTCCCTCCTGGCCGGGGCTGCCTACTTCGACTCCGGGCCGCTGGGTGGTTTGGGGTTTGGGGTTTAGGGTTTAGGGTTTAGGGCTGGAGGGTTGCAGCTTTGGGGCATTTTTGGCCGCACACACTGCACATGCCGGCTTTTTGGGAGCCTCTGCTCCTAGGGGGTTGAAGCTGGCTCTGCTCGGCAGGTGCTCGCCGAGGGCCAAACATCATTGGTAGTTTAGGGTTTAAGGTTTAGGGCTTAGGGTTTAGGGTTAATCGCAAACGAGGAAGTCTTAACGCTTTTGCATGAGGCTCTTTTTCTGACATGACAGCAGTGGGGCGCTGTGCTGGTGCATGTACTCTACGCTGATACGTGTGAAACAAGGGCTCCAGGATTCAAGAGGCCTTGTGATGAGGTCATAAGTAGCCGCTCGACTGGGATGGTGGACCCAAGGGACCTTTCTCACACTTTGACAAGTCGAGTGTGATCTGCTCCGGGAGGGGGACCGTCTCGATCTGTTTGGAGAAATCGGTCGGCGGCGGAGGTTCATCCAAACCACTGAGGTCCAACCTAGGTTGGCGCCTGCTGCCCTCTGAAAAATGTTCTTACGTATGATCCTCATGAACTAACCATTTCAAGAAAATCTTAAAGATCCCAAGGTCCTACCTAGCAACAAATCGTTGCCTCCTCCTCCTCCTCCCCCCTTCGCAGCAGTCGAAGCCGACGCTGTGAGATCCAAGTCCAGGAGGTCGGAGGCACCTCCAGAACCTCGAGCCTTGCCCACCTCGTTGCCGAAGTCTAGGAGATCCACAGCTTGTGGTTCGGACTTCGGCGCCTCTCTTTTGGGCGTGGATGGCTTGGAATCTTCCTTCTTCTCAGTCCTGTGACCTTCTTCCTTGGCCTTTCGCTCCTCCTCATCTTTCTGCCGCTTGGCCTGTTGGGCCCTCCTTCGTTCCTTCAACCTTTGGACTCGCCGCACCGTCGTCGGCATGCGGACTTGCTCCTCTGGCTCCTCCTCAGCATGCTCTTGGCTGCACTCAGGAGGGTAGCTATAAATTAAACCTTTAGCTGCCTTGCTAAGAAACCCAATAAACCCAAAAAAAGGTAAGGATCTAAAGTTACGGTAAAGTACCTCAGCATGCTCTCCGCCACCGATGAGAAAGTCTAGGGCAGCTTGCGTGTTGTTCTGGAACTTCCTCAAAGCTTGCCGGGCAGGCCCTTCTTCCTTAGTAGCCCAGTAACCATCTTATAATAAGGGCAGCCCCTTTTTAGGGTTGGTTACTGTTTATAAGGGAACCCAGAACCAAAAAAAGGGCAAAGGGTACCAGTGGGCTACCAAGCTTCGAACCCTTGCGAGAGAAGGGATGACAGACTCAAAGGGTCGACTGGCACCGATGGTCCTTCATCTGCACATGAGTCCAAGCCCTCGCCGGGCTTCTTCTTGTTGTCCTTCGCCAACTTGTCAATCAGGCGGGCAGAGAAGTCTGTCACGACATCTTCGTCCGGATTCTCTTCCGCCTCTTGTATGGCCATCTCCACCTGAGCTTCAAGGTGTTCTGGGGTCATCTCGACCATAGGTCGAAACTCCATTCGGGCCGGCAGGACACCTGAAATGGAATGAGCCGACGTGGCGAAGAACTCATATTGCAAGTACTTCAAGGTCTGGAGCGAGGAATCCAGGATGTCTCCCTTGTACTCTTCCATGATGTAGAGCCACTCGAAGATGTGCCTATCTACCTCGTGAAACGCCAACTTGGTCGATTCCAGCTGCGACTGCGCTGCCAAGTAGCGACGATCTGTTTGATGTAGGCTCTTCTTCACCTGGCTGTTGCTTTCAAGCCCTTTGAAAATGATTTATGAATAGCTTCCCTTAAAAGGGAAGAAGAGGGAAGTTGAAAAATATCCCCAAAGCAACACCCAGTCGCGCAATCCTCCATCTCTCGCTTTGCAACGTTGTACTCCAGCAGCCGGCGCCTCCGCTTGTCTAGGTATGTCTTCAGGTTTCTGTTGTTGACGACATGGCATCGCAAGGGGTTCATGATGTTGAAGTCCATGTCTCGCCGAAGCTTTGCGAGAGCGCTGTGAGGAGCATCTGCGCGAGTGATGGCGTTCGTCGCCTCTTTCCTGGGGTTTGGGGGCCCGGTACAACATAGTACGGAGTATATGGGGGATTCCGGGTAATAACAAATTCAACCCTAAACCCAAAACCCAAAACCCAAAACCCTAAACCCTAAACCCAATATGTTGAAACCTACCCCCAGTTTCATCTTGCAGCAGTCAGCTTTGATGAGCGAGTCGTCCACGGACGATAGGCCGGTCGTGACACTCTCCTTGGTAGCCCAGTAACCATATTATAATAAGGGGATATATATATATATATATATCTACCCTAAACCCTAAACCCTAAACCCTAAATCCTAAACCCTAAACCCCTTTTTTGGGTTGGTTGTTTTATAAGGGAACCCATAACCAAAAAAGGGTAAAGAGTACCACTGGACCAAGTCTCTGCAAGGACCACCAGGCCCTCAGCAAGGCTATCTATGCCTTTCATGAAGGTCTCGACCTTCTTGAAGATGTCCTGGCAGGTTTAGGGTTTAGGGTTCAGGGTTCAGGGTTTAGGGCTTAGGGTTTAGGGTTTAGGCTGTCCTGGAGGGTCAAGTCGAAGGAGATGAAGTCCTTCACGATTCCTTCGAAGACTGGGTCCACCGGCTCCCCCGCGAAAAATCGCTCCTTGAGCACCTTCCACTCCATGTTCATCGCCTGCAGGTGGTCCCCATCCATGTCGACGCCTGTGTGACGCGCGCGGCGGCCTCCTGTGAGTCCAAGGCTGCCACAGGCGCCACGTTGGAAGCTGCAATAGCAACTTCGGCTGGGGCTGCTTTACCGGGCATACGGGTGTTTGAGAAATGCTGCAGGTGATGCCGGTGCCACTCTTCACTTAAGGGGTACAAGGAGGGGACTTCTGGAAGGGACCCTAAATCTTATTCCCCTCTACAACCCTTATCGCCCTTATACTATATTATATATATACCTCAGATCGGCCCTCCCAAAAAACCTCTAAGGTCCCTCCTTCAGTTGACCTCTTCAGTTGAAACATTCTTCACTTCGCTGACCCAAAGTGCCAAGCTGGCTTCTTCAAGCGTCTCTGTCTCTCTCTCCCTCTCTCTGTCTCTCTGGCGGCTCGAGATGCTTCTCGATTACACTCGTACCCTAAACCCTAAACCCGAAACCCTAAACCTGTGTCGGGTCTTCCCGAATCCCATCCGCCAGTCCTTGCAGGCATTGGAGTCTGCGTGCGTAATGCCCGAGGGGGCTTCGCAGTCGTCTTCGATGCCTTTGCTCTTGGGGTATAGGGTCTTTTGGGTCCATATGATGGGAAACCCTAAAACCAAAACCCTAAACCCTACACCCTAAACCTCAACCCTTAACCCTAAACCCTGATCCCCAACTAAGGCTTCATAGTAACCTTCCTTCGAGTGATGTGTCGAGTGTGGGTTGAGGCCTTTTTTCCTCCCTGGGTTCAGGGTCTTGGGCTTTAGGGTTTAGGGTTTAGGGTTTAGGGTTTAGGGTTTAGGGTTTAGGGTTTCGGGTCTACTTGGACTGCTTAGGGCTGGCCCGTTGGGATTATAAGAGTTCCGAAGAACAGGCAAGGATGCCAAGTTCCCAAAACACGTTTGGGTTCTTATTAGCGGAGCCGTTGTGCAGCAAGGGCCCACCTGGCATGCGCTTGCACTCGCATTTTTCTGTAAGTTTAGGGTGCGTGGGACTTGGGGATTCGAGGGCTTGCCGCATTACGCGGTTTTGGGATGAGGGCTTAGAACAATTTTAGGGCATTTCAACCCCTAAACCCCTAAACTAGGGTAACCTAAACCCCAAAACCTTAAAGCCTAAACCTTAAGCCCCCAATCTTAAGCCCGAAATTCTAAACCTCAAGGCAAGCCAGCTCCCGTGCATCATCATAGCCCTCAACCTCAACACCTTAAACCCTAAACCTTCACCCCCCTCAAATCTTACACTCCAAAATTCTAACAATGGCAGGCCCGAAAGGCACGTCCAGAACGTTGGGGTCATGGAGCCAGCAGAGCACTTCCTTGTCACGGTTCCCCAAGTTTTCCTGTAACCTACCTCAAGGGACGAAAGGAGAACCCCTATAAGGGACCTTAGGGGGAATGTGGGGAGGTTCCAGGCGCCCTCCCTCTCTCGGTGCCCCAAGTTTTGCTGTAAGCTACCCCGGTTCAGGGTTTAGGGTTTTGGGTGTGTTGTCATAAGAGCGCCTGTCAATACAAGGAACAGTCTAGGTATCACACTGCGAGACTGCGTGCTGGCATACTGCTTGCTGCACAGATCTGAGATAGTTGTCAAATGGCGATTGTACAACACGCATTGCTTCAATCTTGCAGCCACCCTGAATCCTAGACCCTTAACCCTAAACCAGGCACCCTATGTCCACCCCAAATCATTCAAGCATCCATACCCTAAACCCTAAACCCCAAACCCTAAACCCTAAACCCTAAACTCACTCTCGAGGACCTGGACATGGAGTTGTTTCGAAAACATCGGTGTTCGGGGGGGGGGGGGGGGCCTTTTAATGGCCAATTTCTATATTGAACTTGGAACCCTAGCAAAATCACAATTTTAGCTGTTTCCTAGGAAGTATAGCGCGCAATAATTCAAAAATATTCCAAAGTATCCTTAAGATTTGGGGTACAAAGACGTATAAAAGGGAAGCATAATTGAATTGTGGGAAACCCACCGTGGCGTGGGCAGCGCCGCACTACAAAATGAGGCCAAAGAGTCTGCTCTGCAACAGAGGGCGTGTACCCTTCGACGCACTGGGTCCTGCATGCCGCCTCGGCTGTTGTTTTCGGGCGACACGACTTGAGGTCTGAGTTTGTAGGCTGAGCTTTAGGGTTTAGGGTTTAGGGTTGTCTGCATCGGAAGTGTCTGCGTGCCGACTGAAGAGTTGAGAGTTGAGGATGCGGCTGAACCACAAAGCTGCATCGGGCATACGGAGGGATGGGTGTAGGGGTGAAAGATTTGCAAAGCAGACGGCAGTTAAGGTTTAGGGTTTAGGGTTTATGGTTTCGGGTTTTCTGGATCTTTCCATACAGGTTACTTCCTCGCACCGCATTCCCAGAACCCGAAGACGTGAAACCTCCAGGGGCAAGGAATGTCGCACCGCATTCCAACCATGTTGTTTACCGATACTATATGCAACGCAAAATGGGGGATTACGAAAATAAGGGACCCCTAATATAGTCCCCGTAGGAGGACTCCCTTACAATCAGGACCCAATATGGTACCCATTTCGGAGACCCTCATAATTGCCCTTAAGAGGATCTCCTAAACTAGGTCCTAAATCCTAAACCCTAAACCCTAAACCCTAAACCCTAAACCCTAAACCCTAAACCCTAAACCCTAAACCAATTTCCTCAGGCGGCCTCGAGCCTGAACTTGCGGGCTGAGGAGCTCCAGAGTCGATCATAGCTGGGTGGGGCACGCCCGCGCAGCCGCTACCCAACCTGAACCCCCCGGTTGGGTTTAGGGTTTAGGGTTTAGGGTTTAGGGTTTAGGGTTTAGGGTTTAGGGTTTAGGGTTTAGGGTTTAGGGTTTAGGGTTTAGGGTTTAGGGTTTAGGGTTTAGGGTTTAGGGTTTTAGGGTTTAGGGTTTAGGGTTTAGGGTTTGGGATTTAGGGTTTAGGGCTTAAGGTTTCGGGTTTAGGGTTCTACCCTTTAAGGGATGATATGGGGCCCTCATTCCCTCCTTCCCTACTAAGCAGGGGCACTTGCAGGTTCATGGGCATAACGGCCATAACTTGGCATGTTCCCCCGTCCTATACTACCAATGGGAATTATAGTGGGGGGGCTATTAAAATCTCTATTAAGGATGAAGGACTGCTAGGCGAAGAGGGAACACCCCAAGCCATCACCGTAAAACTTGTAAGTGGGGTGTCAGGGTTGGAAGTAGGGCGTTGGAGCTTTTGGGGACATGTAACCCTACCTGCTAACCCTAAACCCTAAACTACTGAAACAAAAATGAGAAACCTTGACCCCCAACCTGAAACCCCAAGCTTCTTTTGGAGCGCCTGGAAGTTCAGAACGTTTAGGGTTTAGGGTTTAGGGTTGCGGGCCCTTTTTTCGTGCATGGGTGGTGCCGCCCAGGCCACTTGTTGGCCACTTCGTGCACGACGCAGGGGTCAGGCTCGCACACCTTTTTGGTGCTTCAGGGTCCGGCTTTTGAGGTGTTAGAGTTGAGGGTTTAGAGTTTAGGGTTCGCGCTTTGGGGTTTAGGGTTGAGGGCTAAGGGTGCAGGGCTTGTACAAACCTGTGGGATATTGCTGGGCTTGCTTCTCAAAGACTCTGGAAAGGTTTTAAAAACCAAGCTAGAGCTGACTATTCCTGCAAGGTGCCCAGGAACCCCATACTCCTTGCTTACGAACCTAAACCCTAAACCCTAAACACTAAACCCTAAACCCTACTCCTTGCTTACGAAGCGTACCTTGATTAAATGACATCGGGCTATTCATGACATGGCCTCTCGGGGCAAGGAAGGACAAGAAGTCACAGATGACTCTTGAAAATTTGCCACGCAAGTGGGGTTTAGCAGGGGTTCGGGTTCCTGACGATAAGCGGTGCCTACAACGAGGCCTGAAACCAACAATCTGGGACTCTGCAAACGAAAGACGGCGCACTTCCTCAACCCTTCTGCAACATGGACTTCCTCAACCCTAAAACCCTCAACCCTAAACCCTAAACCCTAAACCCTAAATCCCCAACCTGAAACCTCTCCCTATATCCCTCCCAATCCAAGTGGCATAGGTGCGTGGCTCCAGCACGCCGAGGTGGCAGAACCTGAGCTCAGAAAACCACAGAAACATAAGGATCCTACAAGCCATGCTTTGTTTTTTTTCCAGAATCCCCCCCCCCCTATAGGGGCCCTTCTACCCCACTAGGAGGATCCTGATGTTTATGGTTTAGGGTTTAGGGTTTTGGGGCCCCTATTTCTGCTTCGGGGATTTTAGGTTCATATCTCACCTTTTGCACAGCTGGGGCAGGCCAAAATTGCAGGCATGATGAAAAGTGTATCCTTGGAGGTTCATGGTACTTGTTCAACAGTTCTAACTGTACTAAGACCTGTACTTATAACCATATTGGGGGCACTTAAGGGGCTTGTAAGTGGTTTATAAGTACGGTAATAAGTACCATGAACCTCCGAGTAGGTTGTAAGGGCTTGGGACGAGTGTTTGACTAGAGCGACGGGCATCGAAGTTCAAAATTGCATGCCGCATCTTGCACACCATGTCAACACAACATAGGGCTTATGGCTTTAGGCCTAGACCCTAGAGCAACCTAGGAACAAAAAGGGCTGAGAAGGGAACCGCAACCCCAAAAAAAGGGAACAAGGGGCGTACTCCGGGTCCCAGTAGCTTAGGCCTTAGGTCTAACAACAACAAAGAACTTCAAGCTGCTGGTGTGGCGGGGGGGGGGGGGGGGGGGGAATGTGTGGGGTAAGCGGGGTTCTTTTGGCCTTGTGAAAAAAGAAGTGCAAGGCAAACCAAGTTGACGCGAAAGCCCAATCCTACAAGATTCCTCTATGGGCCACACAGGAACGCTTCATGCCCTCGTCATTGGTAAAGTCCACGACCCATTGAACACCCAAACGTCGATCATGTCCAAAGGCCAAGGAGCAGTGATTTGTGGTTGGGCGAATATCCCTCGTTGCAGAGCCTGACAGGACGAAGACTGCGGGCCTTTGAGATCGCTAACTTCCTACTGGCTTCG